TCGGCAGGTGGACTCCCAACCACTGCGCCACCAGGGAAGCCCGGGTGTTAGTGTTTAATGGGGACAGAGTTTCATTTTTGATGCAAACATTCTGTGGATGGGTGATGATGCTGGTTGCACAATGACGTGGATGTCCTTAATACCACTGATCTGTACACTTAAAAATGGCTCATATGGGGCTTCCCTGGTGGCACAGCGGTTGAGAATCTGCCTGCTAATGCAGGGAACATGGGTTCGAGCCCTGGTCTGGGAGGATCCCACATGCCGCGTCGCAACTAGGCCCGTGAGCCACAGCTACTGAGCCTGCGCGTCTGGAGCCTGTGCTCCGCAACAAGAGAGGCCACGATAGTGAGAGGCCCGCACACCGCGATGAAGAGTGGCCCCGCTTGCCGCAACTAGAGAAAAGAAGACCCAACACAGCAAAAATAAATAAATTAATAAAAACTCCTACCCCCGACATCTTAAAAAATACAAAAAAACAAATGATATTTAAAAAAAAAAAAGGCTAATATGGTAAATCTGATGATTTTTATAATTTTAAATAAATTGTTAAAAAGCCGGAAAAAAAAAAAAAAAGGAACCTCTCCAACCTGAGTCTGGGAAGCATATTCCCATCTTTCCTTCGTTAACACTGTTACCTTTAAACAGGAAGCTGAGGCCTAGAGCAGTAACTGGCCCAAGGTCACAAAGTACACCATGGCGGCCAGAAGGCGCTCAGAGCAGGGGAGAGGCTCGAGAGGAGAACCCCCTGAGAGAGTCTCACAGCCAGGTGAGGGTGGGGATGTTGGCCTGCCCAGGTCCTGGCCCCGGGCTCTACCTGAGTCTCACCACAGGCCCCTGGAGGCACGCCCTCTCCCGCTGACCTGGGTGAGGATGCAGGCCCCAGGCCTGCCTCTGCAGCACGGCTCCCACAGAGCCGGGACTCCAAGCCCCTCAGAGACGCTGAGTCCCCACCCAGGAGGCACAGAGCAGGTTCAAGCCCTGGCGCTGCCTCACCTGGCAATGTGACCTGGGGAGGCTGCTCCCTCCTTGGCCACCACGATCTCTTTTGTAACTTCAGGACAATGGTACAGGCCCTTCCTCCCAGTTCTAACACTTAAGAAGCTCCTTGGAGGGGGCCGGGGGGGCAGGGCGTCACCCTATTGCCCAAATCCCACCGGCACAGCCCTGGCCCAGCTGTCCAAGAGCAGCTGCAGCGCACAAAGTGCTCTCACAGCCTCTGCCTGCTTTAACCTCCGCCAGGAGGTGAGCAGGCAGGGGGTTAAGATCCTCTAGAGAGGCCGTGGCACCCACCCAGGGCACCCAGCGAGAGAGTGCCAGGACCAGGGCTCACGAGGCCTTCGGACAGAGCACAGGACGGGGTCAAGGACGGGCCTCAGTCGCACAGGCCTGGCAGGTCGCGTCCGCCCATCTCCAGCAGTACAGCCTTGGCCACGTTACTGAATCCCCAGATGACTACCTCCTAATATACCCGGGAGGGCTGTGCTCAATAAGTGAACGACACAGGACACTGCCAGGCTGATCACGAGCCTGCAGCGCCGGCGAGCTCTCCGCCTGTGAAACCACACCCTCTCACGGTCCCTGGCAAAGCAGCAGTGAGCTGGCTCCCCTTCCTTTCTGGTCAGGCCTGTTCCCCCGCCCCCGTGTCTCTCTGCGAGTCCTGGCTGCAGCCACAGCTGTGTCCTCCAGGCTGGCCCTTGCTGCTGGGGGGTTACCTTCTCTGGATGTCCATCTCATCAGGAGACGGGCCATTCTGCACCTGACGCTGGCTGGAGGAGCCTGTGGGGCAGAGAAGCACAAGAGCGCAGCGGTTAACAGAGAAGAAAGGACCCCCGGGACTCTCCCTGCCTCTGCCCTCTGGTCCCACTGGAGATGGTCTCAACCGTTGGTCCTCAGCCCTGCAACACCCTGTCCCACCTCACCCTCTCAGTCATCCCTCCTCCTCCCTTTCTTGCGGCTCTTGCTTGGCGCCAGTAAAGGGGGTGCCATTTCACACGGCTCAGAATCACCCCTTCTCGCCTGACCCCTCTGGCCTCCCTCTCAAACCGCACTTGCTGTTGCCACTTCCTCACTTGCCACTGTGCCCTCGACCCTCAACATCTGGCTCCGGCCTCTCTATGTCCCACAAAGCTGTTCTAACTAAAATTTGGAATCACTGAACCCAGTAGATCCATTTTATTCCGCCTTTTGAGCAGGCGAATGACCCTTACGGCAGGTATGTGTCAGAGCCGGGGTTTCAGCACCGGGTCTGGGCCGCAGCCCCGTGCCCCTCACCGCGATGTGACGCCCTCTTGCCTGCATCTAGGAGTCTGGAGCTGTGGGGTGGGCAGAAGAGGACAGAGCAACCGTGGAGCCTTCCGGGCTACATTCTTGCCCTTGACCCTGAAGGCAGGGCCCCAGAACAGGCGAGGTCTGTGGAGTGTACCTCCTGTTCAGACCGGGGCTGGTGCTGTGTTACATTCACAAGAAAATCAGGCTTTTGCTCCAATCTGAGAAGGAGCTGATTGTTCCTTCTCTTTGCCAGCTCAGGTGTCACTGGGGAACTGCGGAGTCACAGCAATGGGGGACGGACTCCGGGCAAGCTGGCCTCACGCCTCGCTGCCTAGATGGGGAAGGGGCATTGCCTCCTCTCTAGGATGAGGGGCCAGCAGTGCTTAGCGCACGACAAAATCCACGATGGGCAGAAGGCCTCTCCCACACGTACTTCAAACAGCTGAGAGATCAGCAGGGTGTCCCCTGGGTCAGGGGCACAGCGGCACAGAGAGTAACAGAATCTCAAAGCCGAAGCAGGTCATCGGATTCTGGGGCAAGCTCCTGCCCAGCACAGGTGCCCTCCAGGCCGGCTCTCCTAGCATGATCCCCGCAATGCAAGCCTTACCTCCCAAGGGAGCAGGTCCCTTCCTACACCGAGGTCCCAAATCTACCCACCCAGGAAGGCCCGATTTCCACCCCCAGGTGTGACAACACGGGTTGAATCCTTTTCTACTTTTCTATGCTTGACAGTCCTTTCCAAGCTGGGAGTTTGCTTCCATATTCGGCAGTGCCCAGTTCTAGGCCCCAGTATGGGCTTCGGTCACGTTTTCAGTGAGCCTTGCTTTGCCGCTTCCGGACCCCTGTGTGGATGCTTTAGTTGGGGAAAGAGGAGGATCCAGGTGGTGGGCAGTGGGCCAGCTGCTGGACGGGAGGAGGGCCTCCCAGCACCTGAGGATAAATTTCTCCCCTGGGTGGCCCTGCCTGACCCTGCCTTGTTCAATGCCAACTGCTGAACTCAGGGGCCGGGCAGGAGAGAAGACGCCTGCGTACTCTTTACAGAGGTGACTACATAAATATCTGGTGGCCTGGCACATAGTAGGTGTGAAATAAATACTGGTTTTCTTTTCCTGTCTCTAAACATGCTTTTTCTGCTTTATTTATTTAACATAAAGTAACTCTGCTCTTTCTAAAAATTGGTTTTTCTGTAAATATGTCCAGTACAGACATTAGAAAAATTTTCAAGTTAAATAAAGAAAAAACATTCCTAATTAAAAAAAAATCCACGGTGGAGGGGATCTCTTTTCTCTCGTACTCCGTGAGGCCCAGGCCTTAGGGCTCCTCCCCTCCTTGTTCTCAGGAAACCAGAGAAAGAACACGAGAACACTGCTTTACAGCAGTGTCAGGGCACTTCTGTTAATTTAATTTACAGTTACTTTAATTCTCACAACCCTACTGGACAGCTCCCAGAAAGGATTGTAACAGGTGAGGGAACAGCCCAGAAAGGGTAAGTGACACACCTGTAAGCAGGAGAACCAGGCTCAGACTACCCGCAAAATGCCACTTTCTTTCTTAAGTTCAATCGCACCGTGGTGTCGGCTGAGACCGGCCCGCAGGATGAAGAGTGCAGGTGGCAGACCGGCCAGAAGAGTCCCGGGTGAGGGGCTGCAGCCCTCAGACGGCGCCCAGGCTCTGCCTGGTGTCCGCGCGGTGGACAGTGCCACCCACTCAGCCCAGCATTTGGGGCTCAGGCCTGACAGCTGGACTCCTGCCTTGTTCCAAGACCCGGCCTCGGCTGCTGGGCCCGTGCGCGCGTCCGGATCTGCCCCTCTTCCGGGGCCAAGCCCCTGCCCCAGAGCCCCAGCCTGGCCCCTGGTCTGAGGACGGGAGCTCACCCTCGCTCTGACCGGGCCCCACCAGCTGTCAGGACCCCCGCTGGCAGCCAGCTGCCACGGCGTGAACTGCGGAGGTCCTGCGCTTGTGCCCCTTGTTCCGCCCGCCGGCCTGGGCTGCCTCCTGACACCCTCAGCCGGCCAGCCTGGTCAGGGTGGGAGGACCGAGTGGAGCCCTTGCTGCTCCCAGGGGGCTCCAGTCCCTGCGTGTGAGGCATCTCAAGATGAGACGGCTAGAACTTTAGACACTACGGGGCAGGAAGAGACAACACTGGTTGCGTAAGGCCTCCTATTCTTCTTAACCTCAGAAAACGTGGGTATGTTTTGAGCTGCGAAGGTCCTTAGCATTAGGAAGCACAGGCCCTCTGTCTCAGAGGGGAGGGGTCTGTCTAGGGTTGCGCAGGGCGTGCCTCCTTCCTCCTGGCCCATTCCACCCACTGGCCACGGTGCCCCACTGGCAGAGGTGGGAGGGGAACGGGGAGGAGGCTCTGCCCTCCAGGATGGTCTAGGGCCTTTGGGAAGCCTGGGCACAGCCCATCCGTAGATGCCTCTTGTGTTGAGATCTCAGGGCGGGAGCCATCGGGCGGCTTGTCATCACTCCCGTCTGTCCCGCGTCCCAAGTTACTTCCCATGATTCTCTGAGCGGTGCAATCAGAAGCCAAACACGCGGAGTGTCCCGTGCCCCAGTCACCGCAGGCCAGCCGTGCCCCCACCTCCAGGATCCAGGATCCAGGTGAGGACCGCAGGCCACCCCCCCCCCCAATCTCCTTAGCTACCAAGTTCTCTGCTGCTGTGTCTGAGACCCCAGCAGGATCCACCTGCCTCTCCCTGCTCACGTGGCTGCCTCAGCATCTCTCCTGGACCCGTGCCTTAGTCAACCAAAGGGACCTCCGCCTCTACCCACACTCCTTTCTCCCCATCCAGCTTCCACACTGACACTGCAGACCACGTGATCTCCAGAAAACACAAGTCTGACCCTTATGGGGTCAAGTCCAAGCTCAATGGAGTTAAGAGTCCAGCCCATCCCCACAGCCGCTTCTCCTGGACTCACCCCCCCCACCCCCCGCAGCAGGCCTTCTGCACCTGCTCACTAAGCCTGGATCACCTGATGTGCTTCCCCCCTCCCCGTCTCTGTGTGGCCCCCATCCACCAGGGACACCTTCCTCAGATACCAAGTCTTCAAGGCCCAACTGCACAGCTGCCTCTTCCAGGAAGCCTGCCCTACATCCTCCTGCCTCTACTGCTCGGCCTCTCCCACACCACTTCCTGATATTACAGTGACTGGAGGGAGAGACCATGCCTGTCACTCATCACTCCCTGCTCAAGGCTGGCTCACATCAGGTACTCGGAGTACTTTATCAAATGGAGTTGGGAAGGTCTGAGGGAACGTGTGATCACCAAGCCCAGGGAAAAAAGCACAGGTGAAGGAATGGGACTGAACTCGCTCAGATGAAAATAAGACCTACCTGGAAGTGAGCCACAGAAACACAGGGCTCCCCAAGTCCGTGCCTGTTCACAGAGGAGGCCGACTGAGGCACAGTTCCCAGGATAACTACTCCCCGCCGGCACCAGGGGCCCACTGCCGCCCGGAGAAGGGGTGTTGGTGGCTTTGAGAGGTGGGGAGGGGGCTTGCCCAAGGCCATGGGGCTCGGGGTCACAAGCTTGCCAAGTCTGGGAGCTCCAACTAAGATAGATCCCGCCCTTCTCTCACTTACTTCAAACAAGTTTTGCAAAGTCACAGTAAAGAGCCTAATTTGCACTACAGACACATGACAAAGAGGAAAATTTAACGTGGAACATGGACCCAACATCGGGAGAAGCGGGGTACCTGTGAGTTTCTGGTGTCTTGTGGGTCCAACCCACAGCGTTGGAGTGCACACCCTGGTGGCAGGCCAGGGCAGAGGGTGGCCCGTGCGTGATGGAGCCCCTGACTGACAACAGAGAGGAGCCTGGGGATGGGACAGGCAGGCTCGTCCGCTCTGAGTCGATCTGACATGATGCTTCTTGGGGAAGGAGTGACTTCTTGTCCCCTGAGGCCCACATTCCAGCTTCAGGTCGGAGTCCCATCAAACACCCACTCCTACAAACACGCTGGTGACTCAGAGTAGGCCCTTTTACCCTTGGGGGTCATGAGGTGGGGGACGGGAAGGAGAGACAACACCAGAGGGGAGGGTGAGGCTGGCCAGACCCAGGCCACGAGCCCGCCTGGGAGGGGGGCTGGCAGCCGAGGGCCCTAGGGCAAGTCACTGAGTGACCGGAGGCCACACTGAAGGGGAGAGAGGGGCTGGGAGGACTGAGGTCAGACCTGGGGCCTCAGCAGTGAGCAGGGCGTGAACGACCCCGCGCCCTCCACGGGGTACAGGGCTGTTCCCAGGTGGGGTGAGAGCGCCTGGTCCGGGTACTGAGCCCCGAAGACTTCCATGGCCTCCATCTGTGACGCAGATTCCAGCGTGAGATGCGACTGTCCTCGGGAACACTGCCCTCATTTAGCAGCAAGGGGCCAGGGAGAGCAGATGGAGGAAAAGCCGGCGGCACAGGGTCAGGCTTCCGGGAGAAGGGACCCAAAGGGGCTGACCCCCGGCCCCGCCCCAGCCTTGCTGAGAGGGGTGCAGGGGACAGGCGGGGCCCAGGCCATGC